AATTTCGGAAGGAGGTTCTACGGTTCTTTATACGACCTGTACAGAAATGCCCAATTCCAGAGGGCCATTATGCAATCTATTTTGGGGACCGCATAAGTGTTATGCGGTTCTTTATGCGACTGTAGATCTGCATCGGGGCTTCATCTTTTTCTAATTTTATAACCCGATCCTATTTTGATATATAGTCGTTAGGGACCATTTGTAAAGAGAAAGTCTGATATTTCTGGAGAGAGGAAGTACCATAGAGTGAGAGGGGAAGTTTCTAAGCTTATTGTTCATCAATTCTTGCTCAAAAGTTAGAGAATTCACAAGGAAAACTCACTAGGTCTTCATCCTAGAGGTAAGATGCTACTCCCTAGCCTTCAATTTCGGGATTTAACTGAAAATAGGTAATGATAAAAGCAATTCTTGGGTGTAGGAGTTGTGATCATTATGCATGCATGTACTATCATGGTTTGTGAGAAGATTGTTGAGCTCAATTTGGGTTAAACTTTGGGTAGTGGGATGAAGGAATCCACCATAGGAGGACCTTGAAATCATAATGTCTACTTAGTGTTTAATAAAATGCTCAAATGAGCTGAAACTATGAAATCCTTCCTAATTTGTGTTCAATTTTGTTATATTTCTAAATAGATCGAAGTTTCTAAGATTTTCGAAACATTTTAGTAATTTAAGGAAGCTCAAAAAAAGGTATGTTGGCTAAACTTCTATCTTAGAATTGAATCCCACGATGTTCTTGTATGTCCCGAGTTGTTCATTATAACTTGACTATTTCGAGAAAGCTTTGTGTCAAAAGATATATGTTCAATATGTATTCCAAATACTCTTGTCATGTTATGTTACTATTTGAGAATGTGTTCAACGTATGGGTTGTGTATCTAGATGTTATGGCTTCAAGTCGTGTTTCAAATGAAAAATATTATGCCAATTTGTGTAGAGATCTCAATGTGCTTAAAACTCTTATTTGCTCACATATGTACTCAAAGTCTTGAATAGAAATACTTTGTTGTTGATGATCTGTAATGATATTTGAAAGTGAAAGAGGTGAGCATGAATTATGAAATACGACCAACGTGCCAAGGGTGATATTACATTTGGGCCACTAGTGCCAATGAAACTGAGAAACGTGTAAAAGATGTTGAAATATTTTGTAAATCCTTTAAATAATAAACACTTTAGGATTATCGTTAGTCACCGAGAAAGGGTAGGTTGAAATAACCTAACCCCGAAACTACACATGCTAGTGTAGGAGTGAATTGTGATTATTCCCTTCATTTAGGATGAGATTGATATGATGAGAATATTCCTCTTTATTGGGATGAGATGATTGCTAGAAAGGGGTGATATCGATCCACACGGCATTGTGGTGCGACGGCCTAGCCGGTCGGGTCGTGATCGGACGCCATGCCGCATAATGGTGGTGATTGTGCTTGAATTTGTGATTGAGATACTGATTGAAATCGTGATAGTGATTGTGATTGTGGTTGATGTCTTGGGGTGAGTCGGCCTAGCTGATTGGGCCATGATCGGACTCCGTGCTAATATCACAGTGGTATATCGGTGCTAAGATCTCCCAACCTAAAATAATGGAAATTTACTTGAAAACTACTCTTGCTCCTAACTTGATGTTTTAGTATTTTTTGAGGCTTTCATTGATTTTATGACTGTTCTTACTTGTATTGTTACCTGTTCTAATGAGAGGGTGTTTACCCATACATACTAGTACTATTCCATGTGTATTAACGTCACTTTTTTTCGGTGGTGCTGCATCTTTAATGGATGCAAGTAGTTCCACATCAGGCAGCGTTGGTCAGTGATAGCGGTACACCCTCTTTCCAGCTGACTTGGTGAGCCCCACTTTATTTCGGGGGCATGTATCTTTTGTCCCATGTGTATTATATTTTGAGGTATAGTCGGAGCCTTGTTGCCAACACTATCATAATACTCTTTTGTATTCATTAGAGGCTCCGTAGACATAGTGTGGGTTGTATGTTGGTGACCGGGAAGGTCAAACTAGTAATGTTATATTTGTACCGCTTGTTCCACTTCAAACTATGAAAATGTATTTATTTTGAAACTTATAAACGATGTAACTAATGATAAGGAATTGGTGTTGTTCACATGATCCTCCCTGTTGTCTAATTAATGAAATAGATCTCCTCTTTATGCATGAGTGAGTTCGGGTAGAAGGTATTGTATATGCTTGCTCGGTCGGGTTATCTCGATTGAGCGCCGGTCGCGCTCCCTGAGGTCGGGACGTGACAATGAGTCTGAACTCTAAGGCAGTGATGGTTTGCCTTAGTTTCATATCGGTCTGTGTACGTCCCTCCAAGTCATTTCGGATACTCTCAATCTCTTCAAGAGTGTGCCCCTCAAGAACGTTAAGGGTGCCTTCCACCTTCCCCAAGTGTTGGCCAAAGATCTCCACGACGTTCAACCCCGCGTTCATCTTCATCACCTACTCTTTACCGAGCGAGACGTCCTTAGGCAGGACCTCCACATCATCCTCGCTCGCCTCAGTGGCAGATGGTTCTTGGAATGTAAGCCCTTCGTTTGACACAACCTCGGGTGGCACCTCTTAGCTCTTGTTGGTGGCATTCTTCTTCTTGTTATGACCCTTCATGTGAGCAGTATCCTGGATGATGTTGGCTTAAGTGTTGGCAGCATTAATTTCTCCGTTATTCACCATTCCCTTAGTTGTAACATTTGCTCTGATACAACGTTGTCACGTCCTTAGTCTTTAACTCACTACACGTGTGGCACTTGACAACTCGCTCACGATCTTGCACAACTTGCTCATGTTCTTGCTATGCCAAGTCAGTCTTACTACACTGAAGATCGCTATGGGAATATTAGAAAGAGCACAAAAGAATTGCTAAATGAAGCTTTGTATTAGAGTGAACTTGAATTGTTTTCTTGGTGAATTACAAATGAATGACCCCCTTTATGTACTAGTCTCCTATGGGCTAGTATGTAAATATTAATTGTTATATAAGTCCTTAATATTTACAAAATAAGGGCTTTCTGTAGAACTATCTACAAACTTAGAAGATTACAAAGACTTTTCTAGCAAATTCATAGGGATCTAGGGTATTCATACGGAAATATCTATACTTTTTTAGAATCTTCTTACAAATACTAGTATTTCTCGTATGTAAGCTTGCACATGACATTAATATATATCAAATGGCGCTTATGTGGCATGATGACACGCGGGTCATTACACAACTCTAAAATTACCCGTAAAATCCAAATGGCACCTTAATCTACTTGGTGCGAGTTAAGCCCATCACAAAGTTATAAGTTTGTAGCTTGATTGATTCTGTTTTCTCTATTTTAGTTGCGGAGAAAATGGAGATTCTGTAAATTTCTGCCGACAGCGGTCCCTTGTTATATCTCAATCAAGTACGCTCCGTACAAATTATGTTCCCCCGTTAAAGAAGCCATGGGCAGCATTCCTAATTTTCTATTCCTTTGTCCCCACAATCTTGAAGCGAGCAGCTCAAATGGGGTCATATATAATTGTCGCCTATCGATACCCAAGGTGAATATTTATCTTCTCAACCCCTCATTCCAGATACTATTTTTTTTCTCTCGCCAGTCTAGGGTTAGTGAAGGTCGCAATTCAATTATCTGATTTTAGGGTTGTGGTGCACTGACATTTTTAACATGAAATGCTTATAGACTTGCTTATGCTCATCCATCTAGTAACCTCAATAAATAAATAAAGTAAAATTTCATGGCCTTTTACTTGAGCATTTTCCCCTTATTCCAGTTTCATAAGCATAAATAATGAAGAGCTTCGCTGCAAGTCTGCTCTCACTAGCTTCAGTTTGGATATTGTAAACAATAATCTAAAATTATCTTGTTGTAATATGTCTGCGTTTGGACATAAGAATTGTAAAATTCTTTAGAAAGTGCATTTTTTTTAAATTAAAAATGATATTTGAAAATTAGAGTTGTCTTTGAACACGAATATAATTGTTTTTGAATTTTATGAGTGGTCTGAGTAAAAATTTTGAAAAATAGTTTTTTGGAGTTTTTCAAATTTTCGAAAAAATTTCAAAATTCATGATTAAATGAAAATTAGAAATTTTATGGCCAGACATTGATTTTGGAAAAAAGTAATTTTTTTTTATGGCTGAACTGGCTAAGTTTGCACTTGTTACCATTAGAAAAAAAGTAATAATTGAAGTATTGGTAATCCGCATTCCGCACACACAAATTTAAAATTATAGATCTATCTATGAGTATGGAAGCCTTCATCTATGTGGTGTCGCCCAGAACTGTCTGCTTATCGACTGTTTAAATGAGAAGGGAGGGGCCGGCATGCAAGCTGATACTTGTTTTATTTTGTTTTCCTTGACAGCGGTTAAGAAATATACATATTGACATACAAGAAGGTGTTTGGTCTATTCTGAAATGGTTATACCATAAGGAGTTAGCTGGAGTTTACCTAGGTGATAACATGATATGTCTGATAGCAATAAGCAAATCACCGAAATAATTTGGCAAGACTCTATAGAGTTGGGATGCAAGTCATTGATGAACTCATTGTTGAAGGAACCAAAGACGAATTCATGATTTAAACTTTATTGGTTCGGTATTTAATTAAGGTTTTTAAGACTCACAGTACTTTTAGAATTATGTGTTCAGATATAATATTTATTGAATTTCTTAGTGAGGTTTAACATATTTATTTACACCGTGCGTCAACAATATTGGGTTCGGATGAACCCGTTGCCGGAAAGCTGCATCTTCCACTGGGAGGAACATAAATATGGAACAATCAAGATTTCACTAGACCGATCCCAGTCAAACACGCAAAGTGTTATGAAAAGTTACTGTTTTATGATCACAATTCTCTTGAAATTCTAATTACGCCTCTATGTATGTGTTACTTGTGTCTTCATGTAAAAAATGTATGTGTTACTTTTGCCTTCTTGTTAGATGTGATGATTTTTAATCTAATTTAATTGTATGACGACGATACCATTTTAACATCTGCACTGGTATAACACTCATATGATGCATATGTGGGGCCTTGAAGGAGTAAACTTTACTTCAATATACTGTAAAAAGCAGTGAGACATATTTAGGAGAGGCAATAAAAGAACAAAGTTCTAAATGGATGAGAAAGAAAAAAGGAGAAGAGCCAAGTACTATTTGGCTATTCTTGTGTCTTTAGCTGCACCTTTAGTGATTGAACTTTTCACTTGTTGGATACAGGAATGCACTTCATAATCCAACCAATAGGCCATGAAAGTGAAGAAATACCCATGCATACGGCCCATTGCCTCCAGTTCAGCCTTTCAGTATTGGCAAACCTCCTCAGGAATTCAACCATAATTACCTGGAGAAGTATTGTCATTCCCACTATCCCAATAAACAGTCTGTTCTTCAGTATTCCATGGAATATGTTTTTCTTCTCCAACTTCCTGGCATTGAACTCATTGAAGATTTGACAGAAGACGAAAGTGTTGAAGATCAAGGTGTCTTTTACCTTCTTATTCACATGAAAGATGGCACTTCCTTTGAACTGCAGGATCAATAGCACTGTTACCTGGTATAAGGCTTGAGCAATGATATTCCTCCACATCACAGCAGTTATCAAAGGTTCAGTTCGCCCAACTGGTTTCTTGTTCATTAGTTCATTACTGGGTCGCTCAGTTGCCAAAGCTAAGGCCCCAAGAGTATCCATTATGAGATTAACCCATAGAAGTTGGACTGCAGTTAGAGGGACTTCTCCAGATGATGCAGCAGCAACAAAGTTAATAACAAGAGCAGCAACATTTACTGTGAGCTGAAACTGAATAAACTTTTGAATGTTATTATATACGCACCTACCCCACTTCAAGACCGTGACCACTGTATCGAAATTGTCGTCCAAGATAACTATATCGGAGCTCTCCTTTGCGACTTCTGTGCCTTGGATTCCCATGGAAAGTCCAACGTCTGCTGCTTTTAACGCAGGAGCATCATTTGTTCCATCACCTGTTACTGCTACAACATGGCCTTTCTGCTTCAAGCATTCAACCATCAAAAGCTTGTCAAACGGTGATGATCTTGCCATCACGCGTATTCTTTCAACAATCTCCATTCTCTCTTCTTGTGAGTAATTCCTGAATGTCGATCCTTCAATTACTGCAATATTCAAGTCTTCACCTGGTTGGAGAATTCCACATTCAAAAGCTATTGATTTGGCTGTGAACACATTGTCCCCAGTAATCATTTTAATGCTAACACCAGCAGCCCTGCAGGATTCTACTGCCTCTTTTACGCCAGGCCTACATGGGTCCTTTAGACCCACCAGACCCAATAAGGTTAGTTCGGTTTCTTCAAGAATTTGACTTTGTGGATTGCTTTCTTTGCAAGCAAATGCAATACATCGCAAGCTCTTGCTTGCCATATATTTGATCTTCAACTCAAGTTCTTTTCTTTCTTCATGATCTATAGGTGCAATTATTCCACCTTTGACATAATAAGTGGAGCACATAGCTAGAATCATCTCTGCAGCACCCTTCCAATGTGTATAAACTTTCCCTGTACTATTTTTTATTACCAATAGCCCACTTCTTTTCTTTTGTGAATTGAAAACTTCAACATGGGCGATTCGATGCTCTCGATTTAATTCATTAAAGTTCACTAGTAAACTGGTCATGGCCCATGATAGAATCGCTTTCTCAGTTGGGCCACCAGAGATTTCTGGAGGACCAGAAGGTGTCGTGTAAACTTCACCTGTAGTATTCAAACCAGCAGCCTCTTGTAGCAATTCAAGAACTTCAGGTGCTATCTGTGATGTCGTCATAATCATATCTGTTCCTAAGCAAAATTCAGTTACCTGAGGCAAAACCAGAATTTTGCTTTGATGAGTTCAGCTTTTAAGTTCTTACTATCGAATGCATTGCAGTTTTAAAATTATGGATTTAGAATTTAATATTTGTTGCAAGTATTTATGCTCCGTATTTAAGTTAGTGGGTTCAATTGACAAGGCTGCATCCGCCTTTGGTTACCTGCATCTGGTTTAAGGTGAGAGTGCCGGTTTTGTCTGTGCAGATGGTAGTTGCTGATCCCATTGTCTCACATGCAGATAGCTTACGGACCATCGCATGATCCAGCATCATTCTTCTCATAGAATATGCCAAAGTTAACGTGACAGCCAATGGCAGACCTTCTGGAATTGCAACCACTATGATGGTTACTGCTGCAGCAATTATGCGAACCAAAGAATTCATGATATCACCTGCTTTGGTTTTGCTTCCTATGAACTCCTGATGACCATTGTCATCTTCGCTATGTCCTGTGAAATAACGGATCAATAGAGTGAGTAGAACAAGAAAAGCCACCAATAGACCAACGCTCCCAATATACTTGGTAAGCTTGTTTAGCCGATGTTGCAGTGGGGTTTCCTCATTCTTGTCATCTGTTATATTGCTCATCATCTGACCCCATGCATTATTTGTACCCACTGATGTGACAAGCATGTGTCCATATCCGTCCATTACCTTTGTTCCGCAGACCAGAAAGGGATTCTGTGTCTTGTTTATTTGAACGTGGTCACTTTCACCTGCTCGATTTAGAATTTAAATTTAATGAGTTAAAAGTTCCGAGCTCTTTAAAATATAGGTTCAAAACTTGAATATTTATACTACTTATTAGGGTTTTTCACATATATATTTATTGGTTTATACTGAAACAACGTAGGTCTGTCTCTATTCACCTGTCATGCTGGACTCGTCTACTTGCAGCGAGTGGCCATCCAAGAAGAGTCCATCTGCTGCAATTTGATCGCCAATTTTAAGACAGACAACATCACCAACAACTATTTCAAAGATTGATACTTCCTGTCTGCGTCCGTCTCTCACTACTTCCACTTTTATATCTTTGCTTTCATCCGAGAGCTTCATAAATTGCCTGCTTTGTTTGAAGTTGCTGATGGAAGAAACTGCAAGGACAAGAACAACCGCAACGATGATGCTTCCGCCATCATACCATCCTTCCTTGGGTCCGTGCTGTTTAATTCCAAAGCCGAGGGAGAAAACAGCACATACCAGAAGGATGATAATGGTTGTGTCTTTGAAAGCTTCAAGTACAAAACTCAAGAAACTCTTGGCTGGTGGCTTCTCATAAATGTTGGAGCCGAAAGTTTTCTTTCTTTGTTGTAGGTCATTCTCGTTCATTCTTAAACCTGACTTCTGGTCTGATCCAAGAATTTCTTCGATTTGCCGCACCCCTCCAAATTGGAGGAGGCCATTGAAGTCTTTCTCTCTGACCAACTTGGCAAGTGCTTCCTTGTTGATGCCATGAAAGAGTTCTTCTTCCTTATGATCATTGATGCTTTCAATTTCGATAACGATAGATGGATTGCGCAACAACTGAGAAAGGATTAATGTGTTTCTACCAATCTTTTTCTTGGTCAAGAAAGCCACAAAATATATGGCTCTAAAAACCAACTGCAACCTCTTCTGGGGTTTTAATTTCCCCAGGGAACTGTCATTGCTTAGAAATATTATGGCATCACTGTGTTTGGGTGAGTGGAGAGCCATAGAGGATTAGCACACAAAAATATAGCTATGCTTTTCTTTTCTTTTCTTTTCTTTTCTTTTCTTTTAACTGCTGGCAAATATTGAATTTTTGCAACTTGTATGCATTAGTAGTACATATATAACCAAGGAAGCAAGTAATTTCCCTTCAACTTCCGAATTCTCATTCAAGTATTCTTACTGAATTACCAGTAGTTTATTAGGTGATACGTACGCGTTATTCCTAAAAACGATGCAAGAGATAAGGAAAGGAAAATGTGAAGAAATTACGGTTACATATTCCATGCAATAGTTTGTTAATGTGTAACAGATGATGAGTCAATTTCTTTAATAAAGAACGTATTTACTTCACTTCGTGAAGAAGCAAGCATTTTTGTTTTACTGAAAATCTTCCTCTACAATGCTAACAAGTTATAGCAAAAGACATTGGATTCTGCAGTGCATCTGAAAATGGATGTTAGTTAAAGATATGCTCAGCCTTTGTTTTTTTCTTTCTTTCAAGGTAGCTTTTTAGTTATACTCGCGTTTTAAAAAGAGAGTTTTTCAACAACCTTTTCAACTACTAGAAACAAAGCTCGTTGGTTCAAAAAATAAGTAGTACTGTACTAATATATATTGTTGAATCCTACTATTCGTTGATTATCAGTGAGCTTATACTATCACCCGTTTTATACGTGGTGAATCCCCTTAGGTGTGGCGCTTCTCAAGATCCCGCGTGAATGCGAGATGCTTCGCACATAAGGTTATCTAATTTCGGTGAAATTCTTGGTGGATTATAAATTGTGAAATTCTTGGTGGATTATAAATGGGGCATCTGCATTATTGTTTGTTCTTTGGAAAAACTTCATATACTGTTAGACGCTATCTCAAGAAAAGTATGTCCATTTCTTCCATTAGTAGTACTAAAACGTCACTTGAAATGATGTCATGACGTTATCGTCATTGCATGCATGGATCGAAGTCAGTCTTCTTTGAAGTATTATTTTGTTTTACTAAATATAGCTGGAACTTTTTTTTTTTTTTAAAAGAAGTGAACGTCTAAATATCGTTGAACAGCCACTATTTTGTGTTTTCTCAATTGAAGAAGGGCCTTCATTTTTCTGTCTAACATTTTTAACTTTCAATTTATGAGGATCGAAAATTTAGAACATGACAAGGGGAAAGAAAAGAAAATCGTTCTCCTATATTTTGGTGTCAAGAAAAACATTTGCGAAATTAAACAATCATAACTTAGCCTAATATATACTCCCTCCGTTCCAATTTATGTGAACCTATTTGACCGGATACGGAATTTAAGAAAAAATGAAGTCTTTTGGAATTTGTGGTCCTAAACAAGTTAAAAAGGGTCCCAGAGTATTTGTGTGGTTATAAAAGCTTCTCATTAAGGGTAGAATTGTAAGTTTAAGCAAAATTATTTTCAAATTTAGAAATGAGTCATTCTTTTTGGAACGGACCAAAAAAAAAATAGGTTCACAGGAACGGAGGGAGTATATAGTAATGAATTTAGGATGCATGTGACAAGGTACGACATATACATATATGTATGGCTATAGAGCATATTAACTAAATAAATACTCCCTCCTATTTGTTTTAGATTACGTACGCGAGGAGAAGCGTCAAATTAAAAGTGAATCAGAATTATTGTAAGGAAAAAATAAGGGGGGGGGGGGGGGGGGGGGAGTGAGATTGGACGACTCGATGGCATAAAAAGTAGACCATACAGTATAACGAACTAAAAAGACTTCGATTAGGTCTTTCTTTAACAAATTTGTTGTTTTCAACTTTTTTCCATTATATTTTTTATATTGACCAGTTATCTATTTTACCTTTTAATTCTTCTTCTACAAGCTTTCTCTTATATTTCTTCTTAGTAGGGAACACACAAGTAGAGTAAAATTGGGAAAAGAATAGGTATTGCAATGGAATATTCTTAATCATACATGAGCTGAAGAATTTGCTGTTTATTCCTTTGTTATTTTTTTAAACATTTAATGTGAAGTCCAAGTTTGGTGAACTGCAGACGTCAGTGGTAACAATTCTAAAATATAGATTATATTAAATAATAGTAACTAACGATTACAACTTAAAGATGTAGAACATCATTAACGGAAATACAAAATACAGAAGTTAAGTAAGATAGGAGAGATCCAAAGAAGGGGATAAGAAGCTAGACTTAGAATTGGGGATGAGAGGACTCAGACATTTTACTCAACAATAATCGGCTCTTATTTTTGGCCTAAGGTACTGCTATTTATTAATTCCTCATACCTCACATGTTCCTAACCCGGGTCTCACAAATAAGTTTTTAAGTTTCTATCCATGCCCTCCCAAATATTAACTATGTTCATAACAATACCCCCGTCCTCAATAAGAACCTTGTATGCAAGGTTCAGGATAGGAAATTCTAATGAGAGAACATGAGCATTTGTGTTGGCTTGCACCATTGAAAAGGATTCCCATATGTAATCTTTCATGGCCATCAGTGTAGTATCAGATATTGATTCAAATGCAATGGCACTATCATGATCCACAACTATCCAACCATGAGAAAGTGGAACATTCAATAGAGAAAAAGTCATCCCAGCAGCCATACCACTTAGGCACGTCACTTTAGTTGTACGTGAAAGCAAAGTAGGGAACTCATCACAATGCCATATAGAAGCTTGACCATCCGCAGAATATCCAAAAGGAAGAGCTTGCTGGGCACTGCCAATTGCATTACATTGCAGTTGTGTGGCTGTATGTTCATCACTGTCCCGAAAGAGGGAGCATTTCGTTTCTTGGTGAAATCCACCTGGATCTAAAGCTTGCTGCCATGTCACAATGTCCGGGTCACTGAAATAAAAATAAACTACCACTATGCCCTAATAGCTTTTTGCTTTATCATATAAAACAAAGCGATTACTCGATCGATGCAACTTTAAAGCTTCACCAGTATCTAATGCATACCCAGGAATGGCAAAGGTGCTTCCCCTGCCAAAGTGAATAAAACTAACTCTTTTTGCCTGAGCAGAGATAATAAATCAGTATTCTTGTGGCGAATTGAGTTTCTGCAATGCCGCATGAGGTTCACAATTTAGAGAATGCCCCTCATGAACATGAATCCGATGATACGAGTCAAAAGCAGTTGGGTGATGCTTAAATCTAGTTGCTAATGCGGCAAGAATGTCACACATTAGAGCACCACCAGTTGCTAGTCCATTCACGATTCCCCTACGATCATGCTGGATAATTATCGCGTTCAAATTATCTTCAGTTGTTGGAAACATTTGGCCTGTAACAGCATTGTTCAATTTGTCAATCTCTAAATCCATAGCACAACACTCCGTACTTGTCCGCAGTTCAACATAGTGTACGACTTTGTTTAGGAAATCCAATAGGAAGGCGGAGAAAGGTGGTTTCTGGAGTCGTGGAGGCCAAGGCTGAATATTGTTGTGCCCCATTTTCTCGCAAAAGCGGGCCTTGACGTTATGACAACTCTTTTGGATGGGAGATAGAGTGTTAAAAGAAGAAGAGTCGCCACCTAACGATTTTTGAGGTGCGTTAGGGAACCAATTATGTAGATAACTCTGGTTGACTAGTTAACGCCACCAAAGATCGGGTAAGGGCTCGAGTTACCCCAAAGAGAAGGTGTTAGGCACTCTTCGAGGTCCATAACTGTGGGTTCCGACCGAACTTAAGACTATGTGGATTATAATCAGGCAAGATAAACAAAGATAGTACGGGTCTTATGAATTTATTAACACAATGAGAAGCAAGGATTACAAGGATATAACTATTAAACCTATATTAGATGTTAAACGAATAAAGAAGAGAAGGGGGTCCTAAGTTTTTTAGCCTAAAGGATCACCCCGTGCAATATAAATAATACTTCGCAACTCCCTTAAGGTAGGGAGTTACTCATATTATTCAGCGGGCACAGACTATCACCTCCTGCTACCCGATTACTATATTAAAGTTGTTTACCTAAACGCTCTAATTTAATTCTAAGTCGTGCTCTATGCGTGCACTACCCGTCCCATACCTATGGTCCAGGAGGCATTGGACCTCTATTTATGGTGGTTCTAGACTTAACTTAGGCTGCTCAAAATGATAAAACTAGGCGGCATACAAAACAAATTGGACTTCAAATGAGAGCAGTTAAAGGCTCAAGTTAGGCTCCACACTTAGACAACAAATGCACGTAAAATAGGTTCTCACATTGAGCATTGGACAGTTTCAGAGCTGAAGCCAATTAGAAATCATTAAGCCCTATATACATGATTTCTATGTGACCTTGGATTCAAATGCGCATATATGACATTACTGCTTCTAGTGGCTTAGACGAGGAAGCAGTAAACCATTTGCTGTTAATGCTGGTTTTAGATACCAATTTTAGAAAGGTGACATTGTCCTACAGACATGATATCTAATAGTGGCATAGTTAAGCAAATGAAAATAGTTCTGGGAACCTAGCCTTGACAAGGGGATAAACAATATTAAACGAATGACAGTATCCTATAGGCAAGATCTCTAACAATTGACAATCGAACGTTGATTTTATAATACTTTACCTCTATGAGCAGGTTATCTAGGTAGAGCAATAACAATAACAATAGCTAATTGATTAGTCAAGGTCCTATAGGCATGATTTCTAGGTGAAAATAGAACATAAGCTAGTGAGATCCTATAGGCAGGGTATCTAATGAATATGCTATAATCATACAAATTGAAAGAAAGTTCACTGGAATTTATTTCCTGTATGCTATCTAGTAGCACATAACAGTAGAATAAATAGAGGATTTACACCCGTGCTTTGATGGTAGACAAGTAAATCACATGAATCATATGGGCATATTTTCTACCCTTGCATGCAAATATCAGAGTATACCCGTTCCCTAGTTTCACTATCACCCCAATTGTTCATTACAGAGTTATTACAGACCCAATGATAAACGTAATTATAAAATATTATACAAGAAATAACAGTAGGCCACAACGGGCCCAAAAGGAAATACCCAGCATTGCTTGGGCCTTCAACAACTCTCACATAGCATACCCAGATTCCCAACAGGGAACTATATTCATCAGCACAACCCAGAAGCCATAGTAGAACTCAAGCCA